CTCTCTCTCGCTGTCTCGCTCTGTCTCTCTGGTGAGTGCACGCACCCTATAGCAAAAAAAAAAAAAGAATTATTTAATTTTGGGGTTGGCAGCTGGCGTGGTGGTTAAGGGTGCTGGACTCCCACATGGCCAACTGCAGTTCAGGTCTCGGACCAGGAGGCTTGCGTTTCCACTTTCCCTCTCTCTAGCTCTCACTCTGTCCCTCCCTGGTCAAATTAAAATAAGTAAATAAATAAAGTTAAATAAAATAATTATTTTCAAAAAGATTTATTTATCATTTTTTAATTTCACCAGATAGAGACAGAGAGAAAGGGAAAGTGAGAAGCAAGCCGCCAAGTCTGGAACTTGAACCACGGTTGGCCATGTGGGAGTCCAGTGCCCCAACCACCATACCACCTGTCGGCCTTGATTTTCAGATATTTTTGACGTGTTTGCAGGAGACCTAGATAAAAATATTCCACAGGCTACTGGAGAGACAAATCTTTTTTTAAAAATATTTTTATAAGGAATTATCTTATTTAACTTTATTTATTTATTTATTTTTATTTGACCAGAGAGGGACAGAGTGAGAGAGAGAAAGTGAGAGAGCAAGCCACCAGGTCGGGGACTCAAATCACGGTCAGCCATATGGGAGAGTCCAGTGCTCTTAACTACCACGCCAACCTGCTGGCCCCTGGAGAGTTAAATCTTGAGGTCAGAAGTCAGCACTAGAGAGAACAATTTTGTCATCAGTGCATATAGGTGCCACTAATCACTTGCTTTATTCAGCCTTTCCTCAAATAGGTTTTGTGTCACATTAACAAATATGCCACGAAAATGTTTTGTCATTTTGTGGGGCTGGCAGGAGGTGCAGTGGTTAAGGTGCTGGACTACCACATGGCTGACCACAGTTCGAGTCCCAGACCAGGTAGCTTGCTTTTTCACTTTCCCTTTCTCTCACTGAGCAAATTAAAAATAGTAATAGGGGATCAGCAGGTGTCATGGTGGTTAAGGTGTTGGGCTCTCTCAAGTGGCCAACCACAGTTCAAGTCCCAGACCTGGTAGCTTGCTTTCTATTTTCCCTCTCTCTCTTTCTCTCTGTGTCACTCTCTCTGGTCAAATAAAATAGATGAATGAAGAGACCAGCAATTGGTGTAATGGCTATGTCGCTGGACTCCCATGTAGTTGACCACAGTTTGAGTCCTGGACCTGGTGGCTTAAAATCATGCTGGGCATGTGTGTGTGTGTGTGTGTGCCCAAGATCCCAAGAGGAGAATGGAGGAGAAGGGATTGCAGCATAGGATTTCTCGCGTTTTGTCTCTCTGCCTCTGTCTTTCTGGTGAGCGCACACCCCCTATAGCAAAAACCTCTCAAAAAAGAAAAAAGGAATGAATAAAATTAAATAAATAATTATAAAAAAAAAACAACAAATAGAATAAAATAATTCTAAAAAAGTTTTGTCGTCATATACAATTGTAATGATCAAACAACAGCACCAACAGTTAATAGTAATATAGCATAAATACTATGTGCTAGGCACTATTCCAACTGCACTGTTTTTTTTTTTTGGAGAGGTTTTTTTCACTATAGGGCG